ATATATATATATATATATATATATATATATATATATAGATTTCAAATTGTAAGATGTATAGAGAATATAGATATGTTAAAATCTTTTCAAGCTCTGGCTAACATTAGGAATATAGATCGAAAAAGTGTGATATTGTTTGATTTTATCTATCTTTATTAAAATGATTACAAATAAAGATACTTAAATGTATAATAAAATATTCGATTGATACATTTTGTTTGTTACATATAATTTGGAATGCTGTGCATATTAAATATAAATAAGCATTAATTAATAACAATTCCAATTGTAAATTCTAATATAAATATATATTTACTTTTTTAAATTAATCGTTTCATTGATTATAAACTGAATGAATAATGCAATTTTTAAAAAAAACTTCGAATATAATTCAAAGGGTATACGGATTGGTATTATCTTGCTCACTTTATGCATCGTATTCGAGCCTTGATTCGATGACGAATCGTGTGACATTTTTATACGTACTTCGTTCCCCCTGAAATTCATCTTCCGGTCCTGTAATGGGTGTAAGAGAAGTATGCGTCTGCCCCATGCAATATTCCAACAAAGCCACTCATAATCTGCGAAGGTATAACGATGTTCCGGGAAACGATCGTGACACGTAGATAATAATTGTAAATAATAGCGCACGTACGTAAGCAGCTGTCATTGCAGGATAAACATCGAATCCTGGTCTTATATAATATTCTGGAAGAAGGAATATCTTGGTAGAAAATGCCAGATAAGAAGCCGAGCTTAAATAAAGGAAAGAGGCTAAAGAGTTGAACATCAGTTCCTGGAAAAAAAGATATAAATCGCGAGCAAGAATGGCGATAAACGCTTAACAACAACATAATTTCAACGTACAAACAACGATGATTTGATTAGCCTATACGATTTTTCGGATATGATGTAACAGGCAAGTAATACCGCTGACGTTAAGAAACAAGCGGAAGAGGTGGTCAAAGATCCTTCAAAAGCTGAGCCAATCGTTGTACTGTACCTCAGACCGTAATTAATTAACAAACTCTGTATTAAACCGCTAATAATCTGAAGGAAAATGTATTCATTCAGTTGATCATCGCATTTACTAGGTGATCTTAAATCTTAAAGGATTACCGTTTCGCAGAGTTTTAGGACACCGGGCAACGTTTTCAAAAATTCCAGATGTATACACGTGCAACATCTGCAGAAGCAACACTCGACACCTCCAGCGGCATGCGTGCCTGTGGAGGACATCCGGATCACGGGGCCAGTTCCGTTTTTAACCATGATATCGGATCTGTTCGTCGACTTATCTTTATTTTCACTTTGTTATTCAAGCTTCAAACACTTTGTGTATTACTCGTTGCCAAAACGTAGATAGGATGATTGATCAGATTCATTAAAACCGTACACCCAGACCGTCTCTTGATTCACCCTAATTGGTTAAACGGCGATTAATTCGCATTCGTTAGAAGGCAGACTGGATGAACCGACTCGATGATCCATTACACGCTTCAACCTGAGATTAATCGCTTGATCGATAAATATATAAATAAACGAAGGAGAAGGGAAAAGAACGTCGAGAGCACCACATCCACGAGCACTTTGAAACGGACTGAGGGTGTTTTTCTCTTGTGCAGAACGTTTTAAATGTCGTTGCACCCCCTACGTCGCAAGGGATACGGATGTCTATTTCTGGCACGCGCCGCGCCGAAATATGTATAGCCGAGCATTCTGTTACGACTTACTGTAGAAAAAAATATAGACAGAGAAAAGAGTGCTTCATAACATTGCAACGCGGTTTTGAATTGAATTCGAATGATCGCAAATGAAAAAAAAATGTATAGCTTCTTCGATTGCTTATGTATACATTTATTGCGATTGCATATATAATTTAATTGCTTATATTATGCGTATCGCACCTGTACTCTTCCTTTGTGCACCTTTATCAAAACTCTTCTCGCATACGTTGCTACGTGCAGATCTACGTCCTGTCAATGGCCGTGCGAAAGTTTCGTTTTTGTCGACGTGCGCTCAAATTTTCTGACTCATATAATTGCGTCAGTTAGACGTGGATCTGCATAAAGAGAAACAAACGAGGCATTGACTCGGGCAAGGATTAGTCAGGACTTTTTTCGAGGTTAAGAAAGAGTGGAGAAGGAAGGAAGAAAGGAAAAATTAAAATACAATTTCAATTTTATGTAAATTATTTATTTTTTCACAAAAATTTAATTTATTTTACAATATCAAATTTGTAAGATTGTACAAAATATCTAGAAGGATAACAAATGTCTTATTAATTCTAATTATGTATAATATTATATATGTATAAAATATATATATATATGATAAATGTAAAGATAAAAAACATACAGAAATTGTATTTCATAAAGTTAATAAATTAATAAATTTGAGAATAAAATATAAATTTTTTACATTAAGGATCGTGATTGATAAAGAGAAACGATGAAAATATGTTCAATTGATACCTTGTACTATCTGTGATTACGCGCCAAGAACAAATATAGATAAAGAGAGCAAACAGTGGGAAAAGGACAGAGATAGGAAAAAAATTGTGAAATCAGCGCCATCTCTAGGATGTCGCAAATGAAACACATTTAGGAAAGAGAAAAAATAATAGAAAAAGGATAGAGATAAAATAAGAATTGACATGTAGCGCCATCTCTCTAATAATGCTTTTAAATAAATGTTTTTAACAATCAAGAGATAACGTTGATCTTAACTCTTACTTTATCTTATTTTATTTTGACACTCAAGAAATAGCACTGAATGTCAATTCTTATTCTATTTTTTTTTATTTATTCTTTTTCTATTATCTTATTTTCTTTGCTATATATGTTTTATTTGCGGCATTCTAAAAAAATACTTTTGCTGACTCTGATTTTATAATTTTTATTCTATTTCTATCCTTCTCTTGGTATCTCTTCTTTTTTTATATTTGCCGTGTTCATTTCCAATATCTAATTAACACTTTATCGTATATATATATATTTTATACATAAAATCGTAAATATCGTTGATATACATTATTAATTATTTACATTCTCGTATGGATCATATATGCATTTTATATGTATATAAATTTTTTTTATATATTTGTATATTTTTATTACAGAGGTATATATTTTATACATAAATTTTGTAAATATTACATTAATTTATATATTTTTATATTTTATAAATAAAAATCGTATAAATAAATCTTATAAAATAATATAAAATATTGTTTGTATATTATTTAATATAGATTCGCTGTATAAATAATTGTCAAATATATAAAATATGATAAATAATAACTTCTTTTATCGTTACATATTCTTTTTATCATTACATATAAAAATTTCTATTGAATAATGCTGATTCGTATCAAAATATTAATGATAATTTAATGAAATATATATATGAAATATATGATAACCAATATTCGAAGTGTTCGAAGATATTAAAAATTGTTGTTGTATAAGGCACTGTAAAGCATTCAAAGTCCTCTGTATGTGCGGAGAGCAACAATTGTACTGAGAAGATATAGCGCTGAGTTTACCAATCCGCAAATCTGAAACAAAATATAATAAATATAAAATGTTTATGCAAAAATACGATGTTTTTAATTTTTCAACTTACCGCTGCCGCCATCAATACTTCGTATTCATTGTAACGTTTCATATTAGATACATATACTATGTATGTTAACGATGCTGCTAGATATAATCCAAATGCTATTGAATGATAAAGGAGTTCCTAAAATAGAAAGAGATAATATATCATTTATCCATCATTTAATTTACTATAAATATAAGAAACTTACATAAGTAGTTTTTGCGATGATAGAAGATGTTGAAAGAGAAGCTAAACAACTTAAAAGCAATATAAAAGTACCAATCATAAATGTTGTCGTTATTAAAAAGAAAAATAGCTCTGCAGCATATGTATAATTCTGAGAAATGTGATGTCCTACTATTGCTACGCATACTACTCCAAGTGCCTAAAATACAAATTTAAAAAAATTCTCTTAAACTTTGCATAGTGAAAGATGATTAAACTTAATTATATCATATTTTTTAAACGAAAGCAAAATTAATATCATCATAAATATTTAATTGTAGAGCGTGTATCGAGATATATTTCTAATATGAGAACTTACTAATTCAAATAATTTAAACAAGCCGCTCCACGTTTTTAAGTAACCAGTATTGATGATAACTGCAGTAGAACTACTCGTTACCGTTTGAGTCCTAATAGTTACCGAATGCGACATTGTCATTCTTTTCCTTGCCGACTCTGAAATTTTAAAACACTTTACTATGTTATCATGTAAGTAAGATTGTAAATAACTCCAGAATATTCATGCGAGATCGTGAATGCAAAGAAGGCCAAGGCCAAAAATTTTCGAGACTCCATTTAAGTATTCTCCACATTGAAGCTCCTTCCTTTCGTGAAACTTAAGAATAACGCGTGTTTTTCTTTCTCCCAAAAAGATATAGATTTGTATATTAATTTCATTTTTTAAGTTTCTCATGTTACATTTAGTTTGCCAAGTAATGAATAAAAATAAGATTTTGTATATACGAATGATATATGAAAAGGAATTCCGAATACTCTCGCTTTCATTTCATTCATCTCGTCACACCCCTAATACTACCGATCGATACTTTCCAGTCCAGACTTTCGGAATTACTTTCTTCTCTAATAATCTAAGAGATATCAGATATATTTAACACATTTATTTAATGGAATAAAATAAAATAAAGTAATTTCATTTTATCGATGAAACATTTAATAATAATACAATTTTATAATAAGTTAATAAGTTCGAAAGAAAAAATTTGACAATCCCCATATAATTTATTTTTTAATTCGAATCACGAATGTGTCCGAATTAAGCGCGACTATGAATAAACGTGTGTGAAATTTCGTCATCGGTTATTTTTAAATGAAAGTTCATTTGTAAAGGAAATTGATAACAACCGAAATTCGCACTTGTTTTTAATAAAACTGTCAACTACTTTTAATCTTTTAATTTCGTTATTTAATAAAATATTTAATAAAAATTAAAAAAATTGTAAAGAAATAAATTTTAATATCTTATTTTATATAAATATGCTAAAATTTATATTTCTTCTAATATCGAAATAATTTTATATCAAAAATATATATATAATTGACTGTAAGATTTAAGATACGATAAGGATAAACGTAAAACTATTTATCAATAATGATTCACTTTTTCGCGATTATCGTAAAATACCTTATTCACGTGATAAACTTATTCAAATATCGTTATAATTGTAATGCACCAATATGATTCACAACCGGCAAAAATATTGTAGGCGCGATATATAATTTCATAGTATACATACAAATTTCAAACTGACCTTAATAAGAAACGTGGTCGCGCCTTGAACGCCTGCGATTGACTGAAGTGCACGTTTGCGTTCTGGCGCGTTACCACAATGACGTCATTGATGATATCATACTTCGGTTCCATACTCGTAGAGATAAATATTAATATTATATAAATACAATTGCATTGTGGTTTTTAATCGTTAACTCTATTATCTTAATTAATAATTTTTGAATTATTATTTTGATAATCAAATATAGATTATAATACTCTTTATAATTTTTTTTTTAATCTTTTAAATACACTATAGTTTTCAATTATTAAGTCTATTAGATAATAATTTTCTTGTTATTATCTTAATCAGATTAAGGTATTTTTCAATTGTTCCATAAATATCGATTTTTAATTTTTTTTCAATTTATTAAATTCATAAATTGTTGTTCAGAATACAAATATGATTAAAATATTTGAATTTGCAAGTTTATTTAGCAAGTAAATTCTAAATTTATTATCATTTAATCTTGAATTTCTTGTTTCAGATATATATCATCATTTCTATTTCTTTAAATCAAAAATAAATAAATTTTATGCAATCGTATTTCGTTTAATTTAAAAAATTTACAAAAAATAAATTTAGAAAAATTTGTTTCTATGTTTTACATTTTTTAAGTGGTGAGTAATTCTTACAGATATCTAAAGTATTTAAGCCTTTTCCTTTTAAACCATTGTAAAACGAAAACAAAAAATTATCTTTAAAAATATTATTTATTTAACATGGGAAGATCATAATCGAAATAAGAAACATTATCGAATATGATCAAAAATAGATTTTGAAAACGATATCGAAAACGAACATATATTTCAAAAATAACGTGTACAGAAAAGGTACAATGTATTCGAAAACATTCATTCACTTCTAGTATAGTTGTTAAATTTTTCTTAAGATCAATGATACAAATTATATGTTATAGATTATATTCTATATGATTAAAAGAAAATAAAAAAAAACAAAAGAAAAGAAAAGAAAAGAAAAGAGAAAATGATGTACTGAATTCAATTTGTGCAAATATATTATTTTATATAAAACATATATTTATATGTAAATATATATATATATATATAATGCGTGTATACATATAATAAAAAGTCGCGATAATGTGAGAAAGGTACAGTGAAAAAGGAAAACTGGACGGGAAAGTGCCTCATAAGGTACGTATATTAACGATATTGTCGACGACTGAAAATATAGTTAATTGCATAGAATTTGAAAATATCGACAATCCAATATGGATTTTATCGATCTTAAAGCATGATTTGCTTTTTAAAAAGATAATATTTCCCTTCTTAGCACATCAGTTTATACAGTGAAAGATTGAATCACGTAACGAAGAGAATCGACGAAACTCGTGAAAACAAAAAACTTAAGAAATCGTCGATATCTCTGACGCAACCCGTCCTGAACAAGTGAATTCAATTCATTCCTCTTTACATTTATCCGGGCAGAGAATAATCCCAGAAAACTATGTAATCACAAATTGGCGCGACCCACCAATTCGTCGAAACTAATTTTTAAGGCACGTACACATAAGAGTTTCTTGTTAAGCTACCACACACGATCAAGTTGGGGCCTGGTTAGACTAGCTTCGACCCATTGATCTTTTTTACAACCTTATGGCCGTCATCGGTCGTTGAATGAACGAATGAACGCTGACAACCCGAATGTAGTAGCTTTGTCGTAGGTGCTCTTCAGGTACCTAATATTGTATCGAGTACCTATGTTTCCCTTCAGTGCGTGTTACTGCTGCTTCTCCATTCCACGTAGAGGAAATACGTCCCGGCAGCGTACGCCAGCGTGTTAAAGATTGCGAATATCTATGCAAAAGAATTATTTTAAAACCGTTATATCCGTTGTCGTGTTTGCCGACGACTTAATATACACTCGTTAAACAGATGAAAACCGGCCATTTTATGACTTCGACTGAATCGTTAAATTTTTGTCTTTTTAACATATAATTATAGATAGAATATAAGATTTGTTATTCTTACCCCTGCAGCAATATTTCTAGATGTGTATATATGATTTAACGCACTCCACGCAGATAACTGTGCGATGAAAGCAATCATGTAAAGTACGGTGAATATCGACGTATTCAACATTTCCTGCAATTAGACATTCTTCATAAGTATATAAATGTATAAAGTAGAATTCGAGTCATAAGGATAGAGCTGTTTTTTTTAAATTGTTTTTTTACCGTTAAAATCCAATTGATAGGTAATTTAAGCGCCTCCCGAATCGACAGCAAATAAATAAAACACCATAACAGAGTGGCGATGAAAGCTGTTACGATGACAAATAGAAACCAATGGGTTGCAGGGGCATAAGCCGGTGATGCGCATATCATGCATATTATACCAAGAATCTGAAACAATTGAAACAATTATTCCTTTATTCGACAATTTACAGTCAAGATTTCAATTTACCATATTTTCAATTTATTTTTTAAATTTTTGCTCGAGTTTTACTTGTATCTGTATATTTAACCAAAAAAGAGAGAAAGAGAGAGAGAGAGAGAGAGAGAGAGAGAGAGAGAGAGAGAGAGAGAGAGAGAGAGAGAGA